CCCGCCCTCCCTCCACATGACCCTGACAACCGAGGCTGTCCGGCTGTCTGGTGGCAGCAGTACAGGAGGGGATAGGGGACAATGAGGAGAACGCAGGATGTCCAAATAACAAGCTACAATAGCAACCATACACCAACAAAAGTTCTCTTAACATACACAAAATATCCGTCCCTTAATTGCGAGAGCCAGTCAGCATATTACCCATCTATAACCTGCTGGATGAGCTGCACTCCCAAGCTGTCGTACATGGTAAAAAGATGAGAGTTGCTGCAGCACATAAGAGGAGAAATAGTGTTCGTTTAATCCATGGTCTGCCAGGGAACCATGAAACCGTGTCCCATTCCAATCCTTTCCACATTTGGACCACAACATGAGCTGCTTTCTTGTTTCCTTTGTTGTCTGTTTCCCTGCTTCTCCATTGTTATCTATTTGCAAGCAGCAGTTTGACTCATTTAATTTTCCACAAACTCCTCCTTTTTCTGCTAACAGATAATCTGATCCTATACCCTCCCATGGTGAAATGTTGTGTTCCTCATTTCAGTGAATTGGTCAGGAGGAAGATCAGGAGCTGGAGCTGTCTGGTTGGTTCTTATTTGGAGGACAGCTTGTAATCTAATGATGCCATTGAAATGATGAATGGGTTCTCTGTCTCCTGATATGAATTCATTTGGGTTCCCAGGGGCTGGTCTGTGGTGGTGTAGGGGTTGTTCTGGTAGCCGTTGATCTTTTCCCCATTTTTGGGTACTACCTCCAGCCAGGGCTGCATCAATTGACCACTTTTTTCTAATTAAATTGTCAAATACTTGGATTCCCAACTGATTTCCCTGAATTTTTGATAGTAAACCCCACTCTGATACACCCTATATAACATAGACAGTGACAGCACATGGAGTGGGCAGAGGGATGATTCCCCCCCACACACACTTATTTTAGTCAAGTTTTCCTGACATTCTCCATTTGCTGTTTCCCTCTGCAGCTTTAACCAATTTCTGCTGCAGAGGCAGATACCCTCACCACGGGCTCTGCCTTCAGATTCCATCTGTGCAAGCAGGCAGAGCTTGGGGTGAGGGGCAGAGGGAATGAGCCCAATTCCTGCCCCAGGCAAGAAGACCCAGGAAAATTGTCCACACTTTGCCCCAGCAGTGTTAATTTGCATTTCTAAAGCTCCTCTGCTGGCTGCTTGGAACTGAACTTTGTGTTCAAGTGCAGCAGTCTGGTAATTCAAGTGTTCCCTCCCCTCCACCTCTTTTTCTGCCTTTTTTTAACCAATATTATTTTAACTGTTTACAAGTTAAAGGGTCACACTTCATTTTAAAATGAAGCCTGAAGTGAACACAGACCAACCCTAACCAATATTTTGCCATCACTAACAGCTACGCACACACATACACAAAAACTTCACAAAGGAAGAAAAATTTCTGCTACTTCTCTTAAGAATAAAAATTGATTCTCATACCCCTGGCCCAAACCTAACTGACTGTTTTTTTCTTAATACTACTTTTATACTTTCTCATGGTGTACTCTTACCTCCAAAACTCTCCAACAACATTTCTAGTGTTAGAAAATCAAACCATTACTTGATTCTGGCCAGGATGTGCAACAGAAATAATTTCATCCACTCAGAGCCTGGCTGTGCAGAGAAAATCATTCCATGACACATGAGTTTTAGTAGCTTTTTCCTAAACTTTCTACATTCTGAACCAATGTAAATCCCTAGGTTTAATGTGCAACAATTCCAAGTTGTGTAGTTCTTATTGTATGGTTGCCTATTCGACCCGGATTTCTTTGTCTTTGATGTTAATTACATTCACAATCCTGGATTTCCTTTCCAGACCAGTCCAGCTCTGCGGGGGGGGGGGGGGGGGGGGGGGGGGGGGGGGGGGACGGACAGAGGGCTGGGGTAGGTGTTGGTTGCTGTTTGCTGCTGGGCGTTGATGTTTTGTTGCTGGTCGTTATCTTTGTGGGTATTTTTTGGCTGTTCTCAGTCTGTTGAGATGTTAAACTCAGTGTAACATCAGGTAAAAAAAGTATTTTATGAAATCTGAGTAGAGAAACAGATTTTTTTTTTAATTACACTTGAAATTATTTGTTTTTCAAACACCTTAAGAAGTGATCCAGTAATTGCTGAAGCAGTCAGAAATGCTTTTGCCACCCTGACAGGTGAGGTGGTGTCACCAGAAGCTATTGAAACCTTCCTGCTCAGGACATTTCAGTGCCAGGCTCTTACAAGCACACACAGCTGTGCCGGTTGAGCTGACCATGGGGGGTAACCTGCGCTTTGTCTGATTCCCTTTCCTCAATAACAGCGTGTCTTGGAACTCTTTTCCCTTCTACTGCCCTTGAAGAGCCATCCACAAAGACATTTTCTGCCTGAGGCCAGGCAATGTCTCCTGAGTCTCCCCCAGGCTGGGTCTGGAGCTGTGTCACTTGAATGCAGTGCTGGGTTTCTTCCCAGCCCCTCTGTGGGCTGTTCAAACAGGAGGCTGGGTTAAACCCTTCCCCTGTCCTCAGTTCTGAATCCTCCTGTGCCACTGAACAAGTTTCACACTGTAATAACCGAGCACTCCTCATCCATTGTGAGGCTCTTTTGGTGATCAAAGCTTGAACTTGATGCCAGACTTGAACTATAGAAGATGCTCCTGCTGTCAGTCTTCTGGCCTCAGTTCCCATGAAAGCTGTGGCTGTACAATTCTGCAGACAATGAGTCCACTCTAGCCACCGAGTTTAACATTGCAGCAGAATTCCTTTGGCTTGGCCCTGTTTAACATTCACTTAGAATTCTTTTCCCCTGTCTATGAGGGCTGGGGAAGGAGCCTCAGTTTATCTGCTTTTTGACACTTGAAAATTCTGCTTTTCTTCTGCTGTCTATCCTTCTGATTTCTGACCATCAAGACAGAAGTGTTGTAGGAAGACATCCCTGGCTCCAAAAGCCCTGCCCTTATCAGGGACTCTAATAAAAGGCTTCCTTCCCTCCTTTGGAATAGGGAACTGTTAAAGTAATTCAGTACGTTTTGCAATATTAGTTTCCATTCACACATTCACCATAAAATCCCTTCCCAGAAATTATAATCACAATTGGGAGCAAGCAAAAATTCATGCTTTTCAAACCTGTGAAAAACACATGTTTAAAATTTTTAAAAGATGAATAGTAATACAATAGTTATAAAAACAGTAATAAAAATTAGAGCAATAAGAATTTGGATAATAAGAGTTAAGACAATAAAGGATGATAAATAGCAAAGAATTACAGACGTCCAGATGCTTTCTGGGCATTAAGCCCACAAACAGCCTACCTTGCAAACAAATTATTAACCCTTAAAAACCATAACCTGTTGCATATTCATATATCTCATACATGATGCCAAATATTCCTTTCAAACTAGGAATTTTTCTGTTTATTGTCAACTTCCCCCATCATCTTCTAAATCAATCCCTTTGGTTCCAGGGTGTCTGGAAGAAATCTGTATGGTCTGATAAAGAGGCAATTAATCTTGTCCTGGGATTTTTGGCTATCTTATTGGTGTTATCTCTATGTGAAGAATTTCTTGGTTATCTTAACTATTCCTTGCGCTGGTCGCAAAAAGGTATCTTACATCACATAACTTCTATTTGAATATTATGCTATAGACAAAATCTATATTTACCACATTACTTAAAAAAGAATAATACAATATTACTAAAAGAGGATTAATACAACATTACTTTCATATATAACACATGTAATATTCATTTTAATATTTGTGAAGAGCCAATCATATAATATGCATTTTTTAGCCATATAACACATGTGCTAATAGTAGTTGAAGAAAACACTCCTGCTCATTTTTCCCACTTACCCCCTCCTTAGGTCTGATATTCAGAATAGATCAAGAGGCCCTGCGTCTATCAGGAGAGGCCTCCTCTTGATTCAGAGCCACCCTGAATGTTCTCAAGGGCTCCATTGTGGTGCCCTGGTGGGATGGGAGCTCAGAGAGCCCTGACAATCCATGTCCATGCAGGGGTGGACTTGCTCCTGCTGAGGGTGCTGCTGTCTGTGCTTGCAGTGTCCTTGTGGGCTGCAGCTGGAGCCCTGACTCCTTCCCAGGGGCTGTTTGGGTGGGCTCTGCCCTGGCCAGGAGGGCAATGCCTCTGCCAGGTGCTGTGGCCGACCCCGTCATGCCCTGGGTGCTGGGGCCCCCTTGGGCCCTGGGGTTGATCC